AGGACTCCATATAATGCTGGCTTCCATCCCAATTACTGTGCTCTGAGGGGAAAGAGAGTATAGTATTGAAGTTGCTGTTGCACGTGGCACCTGCAATTTTTGGTGCACAACCCAGCAATGATTAAGACAGCGTGACACGTAGCCATCATGTCAAACCAGTCCTGTAGAAACTTACTTCCTGCCCATACTGTCCCAGGTCTAGTTTCACCCAATTTTCCTTCTCTTGATTTGAGGCATTGTTGACTGGAGATTGCCACCTCTGTAAGCAGGGACCAGAGGTGACTTTTGGCTTCTCTACAACATCCAATGCCTTCGTGGTACTCGGAAATCTCTGAAACATGGTAAGAGGACCCAGACACCTAATATTAAGCACCCATCCCAGCACCAGAAGTGCTGAGCAGAAGGAAGAGGTGTTCAAACTTGATCAAGAAGATTCTTTTCTCCAAAGTCATACCTCCATTTATCAGCATTAGCTGAGAGCCAGGCTGCAGAAAAAGCTGGAAGAGATAGTGAGACTTTGGCTCTATGGCCCCTCCTTTCTGGCCTCAACAGGGTCTGGAAAATGACTTTACCCTTCCTGCTTATCACAGCCACAGCTGCATGACATGCAGTGAGAAAGCTGCATAATTTATGATGTGTGAGACTATAGTTATGGACTAGGATTTTGCAAATCTTGTCCAGCGGAAATGTAACCTGGAGAGTTTGTTAACTTGAAACTGAGCCCTCCATCTTTGTGCAGGATTTACATCCCTGCCCGCCCGGCTCTTCCCATGATGGAGCAAGAAGAATAGATCACTCATTAGTTACAGAAACTCAGAAAAAAAGTGCAGCAATTGAGCACTGGCAACCAGTTGTGTTAGGTCAGCAGAGAATCCTTTCAAAACCCTGCAATAGGACACCTTTAGCTAAGTGGCAGCAAACAGCTACCTGCTTTCCAAACCCAGGCCCTTGGCACATGTATTGCCCTCACTTCTGAATGCATCACTCCTTGGAGGAGTGGGTACCAGCTCCATAATACCTACCCTTCTCCTGTCCTTGACTAAAGAAGACACAGAAAGGGAAAAGGTATAATTCAGACGGCTGCTTACTGTGCTGGTCACTCCTATCCCTTGTCCCATCCACTGTGCCATCTGGAAGGATCCTTAGGAAGTGGCCTCCATTGCTGCAGTAGAGCAGTTTGGGCTTCTTATAGTTCCCCGGAGGCAGGTTAAACTTCTCAGTCAGAGCTGTGAAGGTCGTGATTTCTCCTTCAGCCATGGCTCAGCAGTGGCTGGTGGCAGTATTTTCAGGACTGTAAGAAATTAAACAGACCTGTAGAATGTTCTCCCAGCAAAGGTACGACAGATACTTTCAAGAAGGGAAGGACCGCTCAGGACACAGGGCTCCTGGTCAGCTCCAAACCACAGACTGCCCAGGTGATGTCCACAGTGGACAGGTCTGTGAGGTGGCTGGTGTTTAAGGAAGGATGGCCCCTGCATGGGAGGGGTTTCCAGGGCATTTATCTCCAATTGGACACAACTTTGGACCAAGTTATGCATTTTTTAGAACTTCAAATGTAATCATTTGGACAAGAGGGGAAAAAAAAATCATGCTTTGGTCCTTCCTTCTGGTCCACACACATCCTCAAATTAAACACTGAAGTTGCACTAAAATAACACTTAAGGTCTGGCTGAAACCCACAAAAGCTGAGAGGCCAGGCCTGAGGTTCTGACCTCCACCCTCGCACTGTTTTGACTGGGTTCTGCCAGGTTTGTGTGCTGCAGAGAGCACAATGGAAGGACACTTGGGGACCTGTGAACATAAGACACAGCAAGGACAGCAAAGGGTTAATGTGTAACCTGGGTTTGTTGGGGAGACAGAATCTGAGGCAGGGAATAAGGCAGCCCTGCCTTATTAAAGGATCATGGGGGATTTTTAAAGGGCAAACGTGGAACCCAAGGAAATTTTATGAGGCAGGTCATTATGAAAGCCGTGCCTGACTACTGCTTGTTCCTGAGCCTCCCACACATCCTCATGTCACACGTTCAAGTTGGGTCTGTCCTTGTACTCAGGCCATCTTCATCCTCTAATACAGATGCTACCATATTATGCATTAAAATCCCCTAATTATGTTATATACATCACTAGAAACAAGTGCATAGTATTAGCTGTAAAAGCATCAGTGATTGCTTCTAAGGATTTAAAAACAAAGACAATGAATGTTAGAATTCTAAGGCTTGCATTTGCCCATTTAGTTGAAGGAAAGATTGGTGACTACAGAGACTGTAAAAGAAAGATGTCAGAAAATAGAGCAGGAAGCTTGGAAGTGAGCAGGTGCTGATTGTACATATGGACCATCAAGTGCTTCTGTAGTAACCACCACCACCGTCACTGCCACCACCACCACCATCAGTAGTGTCATCATTACCAACATATTCCAGGCTGCAAGGTAACATTATCACCATGGCCCTTTGACATAAGTACTAATATCCACATTTTTTTTTTTTTTTTGCAAAATAAAAACAAGGCTTAGAGATGTTAAATGAGTTATCCAAGGTCAACACGTAGAAGTCATAGAGCTAGGTCTCAAAGTGGGTCTGTGAACCGAAAGCCCCAGTCTGCTCTTAGCCACTAGGAGAAGGTGAAGTGACTTCACTTATACTGAAGTATTGAGACCAGGAGTGGGATGTTTACCCATTGTCTGGGATGTGCACCTGCCCCAATAACCTTGCCATTCGTCAGTCTCTCACTTGTAATCTAAATGCTGCCTACCTGCACCAATAGTTTCTGCCCTAGCAACCTTGCAGCAGGACTCTGCATGTGCCTCCTCATTCCAGGAGAAACCTGCACTAGCAGCACTGGGAGCCCCATGAAGATCAGCAACACCGCCTCCCCCTGCCTGAGTCATCCGTTCTGCCCTGCATCAGCCTTGTGAGCTGCTCTCACAGGAAACTGTTCCATCATAAACAAGGCACCAATTTGGATAATTTGTCTTTGTGACATTGAAATTAGGCCTCTTGGTGGAAGCGCTTGTTCATTTTTTCTGCTCCTGACATTTTAATGTTTCTGGTACATTTGTCACAGGCCATTCATTGACTCCTGTTTCAGCTACTGTTTGAGGTTCCTCCAAAAGCCTTTAAAGAGAATTTTGCCTATCCCATTGTTAATTTTATTTAAAGTCGGACCATCTCAAATGGCCTGTCCATCCAGGTAACTGCCCAATTCTTGTCACACTACACAGTAGCAGACAGAAAACTAATTTTATTTATGCCATGCACAGAAAGACAAGCTTCCTCCCAGATTCTCTCTCTTTCTTCAAAAGTTTTCCCTTTCATCCCAAGCCTCTGTCTCTCTACTCTCTTTTCTGTCCCTCTCACTCTGTCTTTCCACCCAGCCTATCACTATCACTATCACTCTAATTCCTCACTCTATGCCTCTCTGGATCCTCTTCTTTTTATTTCCCTCAGTGTTGGGGACCGACTGCAGGGCTCATGCAAGCTAAGCACACACTCTACCACTGACCTACATCTTAGTCCCCTGGATTCCCTCCTGATGTAAAGACATTTACCCCTTTCAAATGTGATTATTTCACCCATCACCTCTGCATCAGCACACACCATGACCAGATCCCCCTTCCTTAAACTACAACTAAGAGATCATAAAAACTTTTTTCACTTTTTCCCCCAAACACTTCCTAAATTGTGTACTTAATCAGATAGACAGGAGACCATAATTATACTTCAGTGACTGTCATTTAATTGCACAGTCATTTGTATTGTCAGCTTTCGGAGGGTAGGATTTTGTTTCTCAGTGGAGGTTTCTGTTTGCTGTTTCCCCTGAAGGTGGGGCAGGTACATGTAAAAGATGGCCTTCCTTCTGGATCATTCCCAGTGATGAGTCCATATTAGGTTGTTTTCTAAGTGTGAGGCATGGATCTGACTCTGTCCTCTTGCATTCTTGCTTTTATCCCATTGGGATGAAGAGGAACAGATACACCAGAAGGCTGGCTGGATTGGAGACACCAGCTCTGGCCAAAGATGAGACAAATGCTCACATTAACATGTGTGTATAGACCATGTAGCCTGGGTTTCATCTCTGTGCTGCCCTAGCAACTAAACAACCTTGGAAGTCATTTAAAATTAGGAGGTCCCCTCCTCCTGAACACAATGAGACCTGCAGTTATCTGAGGCCACTGCTCTGCTCTCTGGCTGCTCCCCCCTGTAAGACAGCCAGTTATGGGGGTGGCTATACTCTTAGGTGGCTCCCATAACCCTTCAGTTCAGATTTGTACCTGCAAAACTAGAAGCCACATGCTAACTCATGAAAATAAGGCTCGTGTTAACATAAAGCTGCTAGCTGTAGCAGGGGGATATGAATCAGCTGAAACCACAGGGGCTGGGAAGTCCTTCTTTTTAACTTTGTTTACAATTTACCTGCATTTTGAACAGGAGTTGATCCAGAGTTCTTTGCCAATCCATTATTTGTTAAAGGATAGGAATAAAGGAAGCATATGGCATGATAAAATCATAAGACAGAACCTTAGCAGGTCCTTGGGGATTTATGCAAATTGCTCTAATAAATGAATCCATTAACTAAGTGCAATCAGGCATTAAGCATAATGGAAATTTATACTCTCTGCTTCTCATTACCCTTTTCTTTTTATTGACTGACAAGGGAGGGGATTATTTGTATGTGTATTGGGATACAGAAAAATCAAGCCCTATGAAGTCCAGCTCATTCTTATGTGCTAAGCCCAGCCTTGGACATTTGGGGAACTGGTGAGATTTTAGAAAAACCAGATAAGTTTCTCTATTTGCTGATGACACCAAAGTGAGAGGAACACCAAGCCTATTGGAACATCCATGTCAAGGCTGACAGAGTTTGTCAACTGTGGCCACTGGAAGAGACCCTGGACATGGACAGATGAACAGGGTGGGAAGTACACATTCTTGCTCAGGAACACAGCAGTCACTTTTGAATTAGGGTAGCAAGCAGCTTCTGCAGTCCTGGCTGTGCACAAGTTGGCTCTGAGAACGTGGTGGGTCACTCCTTCACACATATCTCCCGTAATGATCCCCACCCTATCTACTGCTCAGAGCTGTCCGAAGAGTTAACGAGCACAATATTCACAAAAGCTCTAAGTCCTTCTCCCTGCCTCTCTGAACGGCATCACCCAAAAGCCTTAACTCATCCTTAGAGATATTAACTTTAGATTTTGTTAAGTCAAATATGTATGTTAAATGTCAAGGGTAAAAGGAAACAAACAGAGTGTACTAATTCCAAGCAGCAACTTGTAGGGCTGAGGGAGATGAAGTAAAACAAATAAAACTGTATTTGTCCAGAGCATCCAGAAAAAGGAGAAAAAGAATAGAAATATTAAAAATATTGTTCAAAAGTAGGTGGCTGAAATTAGCCCCAATATATTTATAATGTAAATGTAAAATAAATGTAAGTGGATTAGATTTTTTGACTATTAGATTGTTTAAAAAATCCATTTACACTCTGATTACAAGAAATACATTTAAAACACAGGAATACAGAAAGGTTAAAGGTGAAAGGATGAAAACAGGTCAGGCTCAGTGGCATGCACCTGCAGCCCCAGTTACATATGAAGCTGATTCATGAGGACTGCTTGAGCCCAGGAGTTTGAGGACAGCCAGCCTGAGCAACAGAGTGAGACCCTGTCTCAAAAAAAAAAAATAGAGGGAGAGTGCAGTGGCTCAACTCTATAATCCTAGCTACCCAGCAGACAGAATCAGAAGCATCATCCTGGGCAAAAAGTTCATGAGACCCCCATCTCAACCAATGGCTGGGAATGGTGGTGTGTCCCTGTCATCACAGCTACAGAGGAGAATTGTGGTTCAGACTGGCCAGACATAAAGAAAGACCCTATTCAAGTAATAACTAAAGCAGAAAGGCCTGGGAGCATGGCTCAAGTGGGAGAGTGCCCGCCTAGAAGTGTGAGGCTCTGAGTTCAAACCCCAGTATTAAAAAAAAAAAAAGATAACAGACAAATGATAACAAAGAATTAAAAGTTGGTATGGCTATATTAATACCAAATAAAATAGGTCTTAGGATATATAGGGAACTTAAAAAACTAAATTCTCCCAAAACTAATGAACCAATAAAGAAATGGGCAAGTGAACTAAACAGAACTTTCTCAAAAGAAGAAATTCAAAATGGCCAGAAAACACATGAAAAAATGCTCACCATCTCTACCAATAAAGGAAATGCAAATTAAAACCACACTAAGATTCCACCTCACCCCTGTTAGAATAGCCATCATTTAGCAACACCACCAACAACAGGAGT